TGTTCCAAAGAACACCTTTCCTGCGATTCCAGCATTCACACAATGTCAGACTACAAATCAAAAACCCTAAGGCTTTGGACATTATAATCTGTATGTTTCGGTAAACATGGAAAATGTAAATACTTCAAATTGCAATAATTTTCACTTGTGCTGCACAACATTTTGATTAATAGTGAGCATACTGACACACTCAGAAAGATGTTCAGTGAAATATAATATGTAAAATAATAATAGTAATACATTATGCATTAATGCAAAGCTATACAAAGCACTTACTGGTTTCAATTGTCAGTTTAGTTCCAGAGCCAAAATAGACTTTCAAGTCTCCACTAGTCACACACCAATTTTGTCTTTAGCAATAACTCCCTGCTCTCTCGAAAATAACTCCTTATCTACACTGTGTGAAATATACCCAACAATTTCTATCATATATCTCTTTTATTAGAAAAGTCATGACAAATCCATGACCTGGTCAATAATTTCGATTTTACAAGTTGGTATGTAACAAAAGGCCACCAGGGATCATTTTTTTCCACTTGTTTTCTACTTCTAGAAGAGAATTATTTTATTGAAATGCATGTGCTGCATAAAAAGTGATTTAAATTAAAATACTCATACTAACCTTCTCTTCTCACATGACTAAACCAAATAAAACAATACACCTAGTATATTACACAAAGCGTTTCAAAAGTGTTTTGTAACTTCCAGAAAGAAATACTTGCCTGGTTCAACAATGAGTTTTGTTCCGCCGCCAAATATAATTTTATAATTTCCTGTATTCACACAGAGCTACAACCTATACCAAATACCCCATGCACATCTCTCTTTGCAGAGAACTGCCGTTCACTTTTAGAAGTGTTTTATGACTAAAGATGTAAAGAGAGAAGACTGATTCTTTTTACATATGCATTTTCTGTTGTGCAGTATTACACTTGTATAGGGATTTGGTATAATACATGCATATTAAAAACAGTTCAACAGTTTAGCAACGGTCAAGTTTTTATAATTCACCTGTTGAGATGATCTAACATCTACACTACTAAAGCTGAATAAATGAACATTACATTACAATACTGTCTAAAGGTGTTATGAGACTGGGTACGTTTGTTTTTAAGGTATTAAGATCTTCTCATACCTGAATTTATTGTGAGTTTTGTTCCTTTTCCAAAAATAACCTTCCATGTTGCTCCACTACTAGACACACAGTGCTCTGTGCGCTAACAAATACATGGCCACTTTCATGACAGCGACATAAAGCGAAAATGCACAAATATAAATACCTGACAATAACTAAAGATACAAAATTGCTATTTTATGCAATTTAAGTTATTTCCTCTCATTTCTTTAATTGCTAAATTTGCATCTTGTCTAAAGCAACTTATAATGTGAATTTTTATTCTTCCTTAAAAATATTATTTGACTTGGTTGTATAACTTTACATTAGTTTTCAAATTGGGTGTCGACTGACTATGATTTAAATGAGGCTAATGTGCCTTAATGTCCTTGGTATTTTTTGATGTGTAATGCAAATGGAAATGTCTAAATATAATAGCTTGTGCTGCTTTTTGTATACTCACTTGACTGAACTTGTAAACTTGTGCAACTTTACATAGCAAAATAAGTGGCTGCAATAAATATATTGATGTTCATGATATTTCATGCAATCTTCACTATATAATTATTGGAGACCTTTTATGATCAACCGATGAACTACAAAACAAGACATAACCAAATGAACAATACGCACCAGTCAAAGCTTTTTTAAAAGATTTCCTATCCATTCAAATCAAATATGTATTGGATGATCATACTGTACTATAAAACAAATGAGAGCATGCCAAAGACCTAATGAGACAAAAACTACTATGGTTTGGGCTTGCCTGTACAACATCAATAAATTCAATGACACAACATGCACATAAAGTGTTCTGTTGTAAATTACTCAAATACTTGCCTGATTCAACAATGAGCTTTGTTCCACTTCCAAAAAACAACTTGTTAGTATTTGCATCCACACAGCACTACAGCCTGCATCAAATACTCAATGCACTACTTGTCATTGCAGAAAAATTAAAGATTTAGACTTTAAAGGTAGAATTTTAAAAACTGATGAAGGGAATAATCAATGTTTTCACATATTTATTTACATTATGATGTTGTGTAATATTACACCTGTAGTTTCATTTGTTTTCCTTACATTAAATTTCTGTTTCTTGTTAAACAATTTGATGTTCTTTTAACTATCACACTTTCAGTCCAATAACCAAAGAGTCTGAAATGAACAGAAAACAGAAAAACCTACCACATGATAAAGAACTTGGTAAAAACTTAGTATTTTTACAAATTCATATAGTTCAGCAAATTTAGTCTATGTTTTCTTAGTACTTCTTCTGTTTTTATAACAGGCATCATTTTTTACTTACTTGATTCAACGAAGAGTTTGGTCCCTTGACCAAAACTCAGCTTATTTCCAGCGCCAACATTCACACAGCGTACTACCCCACTACAAAAACCATTTCTAAGGTACGATAAATGTTAGAAGCTAAACCAATGCAGAAATGCACCCACCTGTATTTTTTGGGATTTTAAATGATGAATTTGACTATCTATCTTTGTTTGTCATGTAGTACATTGTTAAGGAATTTAACAACTGAAAATATTAGTATTATACATAACAGTTTAGTTTCCATTGTCAAACATATAATTTTCATATGCATTTTACTTACTGGTTTGAATTAGCAACTTTGTTCCTTTTCCAAAAAAGATTCTGTCTGCACTATTAGACACACAAAGTGACGCTTCATACCAAATACCGCCAAACACAGAAACTGCTATTTGTTCACTCAACAGAACAATTTTTACTTTTATAATTACTATTTTAGTAGTATAGTTTATTACAGCATTTTATTGTTATGCATTCATTAGCTTTTCTTTATTTTTCAAAGCATAGATTTAAATCTGAAATGTATAAGACTTTAATAACGGGGCATGTTTAAAAGAGATTCCTTTTTAGAGAATTAAAATTTCATAAGATGCATATGCTTTTTGGTGTATTTGTTTCATGAAGAGAGCAACTCAAGATTGACTAACTTTCTCTGGGACTTTCACTCAGCAACCCTTCAGAATCACCTTTCATAGAGTTTCAACGTTTCAACCTTTGCCCAATTACTAAAGCAATACTAGCACCAAAGTCACAGAACTTTCTCAATAAAAAAATAAAATTCAAATTAAAAAACGCACAACTCTGAAGATGTTTTAACTGAATTTTTTCAAACGTGCAAACTTACTTGAATGGATGAAAAGTTTGGTTCCTTTACCAAATATTATCTTTCCAAGGCTGCCAGTATTCACACATGGCTATACATCCATACATAAACCTATGCATCAAATGCAATCTCTAAAACTACATGCTGCCTATCAGAGGAAATTTCATTATGCATTTTTATTTTTTATTTAAAAAATGTTTTTATTTAATATTATTAAATATTCTGTTAGATTTGTTTGTTCAAGAAAACTTGCCATGTTATATGTAACATATATAGGATGTTTTAATTCTACCTCTGAAAAAAATCACAGCGGAGCCATCAAGAATGCTGTACTCATATGATAAATGTAGTAAACAATCACAAACACTAAATGTTTAATTACACAACATGTTTAGGTATGTTTTGAAGAAGTATGACAAAAATAAGTAGTTTTAAAATATATGTTAAAATATATGTTGAATTATATTTAACTACTTTTTGCAAACTGCTTATTTAGTATTTAAAATCATTTCTAAGATACATATTTTTAGCGATTAAAAGATTAGAGAGAGCAGAAACTTACTTGATTCCACAATTAGTTTGATGCCATTTGCAAAAATAAGCCTGTCATTCCCTCTAGTCACACAAAGTTATACACCATAACAGAAACTCCCTGTAAATGCCTCAAACCCATCGTACAGTCATTTTGAAAAAATAGATATGTTTTTAAATCAATTTCAATAATTAAATAAATTATTTATATTTTCTTATTAAGCGGTATATGACATTTAGTTGAATTTTCACATAGATTGAAATTGGATTTAGCTGAAAAAAAAAAGTAACTGAATACTAAACACTTTCAAATACAACAGCAATGCAGTTGAATCTTTTAATGTTGATGCAACATGACTTTCTTTTAGATTTTACAAAAAAGATACTAAGATTAAGCCTTATCATTACAATTACTCAAATTGAATTTTATGTTTAATCTAACATTCTGAATTCAGTGACCTATCAAAATATTTAGTTCGACAAATAAACAACTTACTTGATTCCACAATGAGTCTGGTACCATGGCCAAATACGACCTGGTTAACCCCTACTGCATTCTCACAGCGCTACACCGCATAACAAAAACACTTCAACATAACACTTTATCTATTTTTAAGGACTGACACTAGATTTAATATTCCACTCTCAGAACAGTTTTCTACTCATTTCCCACTAATTGTTGTTATTTAAAATAACTAATTTAAAACAAAAATAATGAAACATTTATGTACTACGTTAATTGTTTCGTTAATAACGAAACGTATAAATGTCACTTTCTTGCATCAAAGAAGACTTAAATGCAATAACGAATTATAAATCTCACCTGATTCCACTATAAGTTTTGTACCGGTGCCAAAGATTATCTTATTGACTCCCTGCTCATTCACACAACACTATATCAAATATCCTTCAGTGCAAACAACTGATCTACATTTCTATGTGCAAACTCAAAACAAAACATTTCAATTATATGCTTTGAATTATCACAAGTGATGGTCATATGAAAAAATCATCATCACTCATTTCACTACCCTTTAAATAAAAATTAAAAAAAATTAAAAAGTAGTTTCAAGCCAAAATTTCATGCTATAAAGCAACAATAAAAGCTATTTAAAATAATACTCACTGGTCTGCACAATTAACTTTGTTCCAGATCCCATAAAGAGCTTGGAGCCAGAACTAGATGACCACAGTGTTGCATTCTCAGACATAAAACCTCCTCACACAAGATACAGATAAAGAAGATAGTTTAAAATGGTATATCTTCAAATCATAATTTACCAAACATTCAAGATCAATGATAAAAGTTTAAAATGCTCAAAACACTTCTATATTTTATATAATTTCCCCCTAAATGTTAGAATTATTAAATGCATGCCAAAAACAAAAAGTTTCAATTCAGTGATGGCGTTAATAATATTATGCATCAATAATCTTAATGCTAAAAACTCTTTAATACATTTAAACGTGATATTGTGGTGAAACTAATCAATTCTGAAAGAGTTTAAGTCCTTACCTTAGTGTCCCTACTCCAAATTTATATCAGATCCTGGAATAAGTTTGCAGTTCCTCTGTAAGAAACAGTGTGTGTATTAAAAGTGTCAGACACCTCAATCTTTACTAAAAAAAACTATCCAAACCAAAGAATTAAAATCCCACCTTGTCCAGCAGAACATTTTAGTTTAGGTGAAAACAATCATTCAAATGAGAAATATATGGTAACTCACCTCTTCATATAGACATCGGTGTTCTACTGGCCTAGTTTTAATGTTACACATGGCCTTATTTCTTGTTCATTTCTGTGAACCAACCTACAGAAGCAATCTCTGAAATAATAATAGGCTATAACATTTACATTTGCTTTACTCGGTTTTGTTTTGTAAACGCATAGTAAAACTAAATGTATTTGTTGTCAACGCAGCTAAGTCTTATTTTAAGGCGTTTTAGCTCTAAATTAACGTTTGTGCTTGAACAAAACACTTAATATTGAGTGCCTCTTTATATTTGATGGAGTATCAAGCAAAAACAAACGTTTAGGCTAGTTACCCATGCCACCATGTGCTATTTGCAGAGAGCTAAGATACATTTTTTTATTCTGTGATAGAAAGTGCCTTCTAACAGCGGGGTTGAGCCAGACTGAAAACGGGACATGGGCCAGGCCAGACTAGAATCATGTTTCCCTTGAGCCAAGAGCTTTTGCGAGTCTTGCATGTTCACATAAGCAAAAAACGTGGAACATGCGGAATCACATTGGATGTCAATGCTCAGTCGGCCACTAGAGGTCACTCAAGTCCGCCAGTCAAAGCAAACGGCAAAATCCCACTAACAACCACAGGAGGGCAGTACACTTTATTTCATGGTCTTAGATGAGTAGCCAGCTCAGCTCACCGTTTTCATGAAAGAAAGTTGAGAACATTACTTAATAGCTTATTCATTAATAAATCGTTCATAAATAATACAAATTAAGTGATTTATAAAGACAGAACTAATAAAAATTAAGTGATTTATAAAGACAACTAAAAAAAGTGCTCTCAACAGACTTAGTTAGCCTATGTCTCACAAATGTAGGCTAATCATCAAAACAGTGGTTTGACAAACTATTTTGAGGAATATTTATTTTAAATCATTTTATGTAAAAGTTAAGTAATTAATTACAAGCTCCAAAAACTGTAGCTGTAAGACTTTACAGCTGTTTTTCTATAACAGAGTGGAAAAAATGTAGCAACAAACATACTAATTCTTGGAACCCAAAGCGAGCAGTAGATCTTTATCTGAAACTGTGGTTAGAATCTGCCTCCAGTACGAATGTGCTGTTGAAACTGTGGTTTAGACATACTCACATGAAACTTCTCTTTTATCAAGACATTTTATTATTTAATATATTTTTGGAAAATCATATTACATGCAAAGATCAGAGCCTCAATAGTTAAGTCAAATAGTAATCCGTTACACAATTAGACAATGTAAAAGTCTTAAACAATGCAATGCTGTTATGTAAAAAAAAGAAAAAAGTAAAAAATGTAAAAGTATAAAAAATTAACTTGCACCTGTTTGCAACTAAAGCCGAAAATACACACACCATTGCAAAGCAATACGCACATTACACCACTGAATTCAGAAATGTTTCTAAATGTCAAAAAGGTTTGCAATGTTTGTCGATATTCTGTATATATGAAAGACATTACTAACAATTTGTATTTTTCATTCCATTTAACATTATTAGACAGAATATAGATTAATACTGACCCTGTGGCTGACTGTATAACCGCATTTGTTTGTTTGTCAGGGTTCGATCAAGCTCCAGTTCAAAATTGAGATTATTCAGATGATTTGGCTGAATTGAACTTTTAAAATACGAATGCCTTTACAGTCATCATTACATTAACTGCAACACATTTAGCAAGCAGAATTCTCAGACCTGTCACAAGAAGATTCATGAAGTTCATTTTTGGATCACCTGAAAAAAAAAGTGAAAACAATAAATTAATCATCCTTTGATATTAAATGAATTTAAATCTTGTAAATCATAGCATAACGTAGATAAGTTCACAAATGCAAGATATACATGTAGAATATCTTATGTATTTTATTACTAACCAGTGTCTATGAACCCTGAGGCAGAAGTTCTAGCATTTGTTTCACAAGTCTGTGGAGTCAGTTTTTCGGGTTTATCTGCAGAATAAAAATTAAGTAGAACAAAACAAATAATTCTTAATATATATTTTGTATTTACAATACTTAAAAAATGAAATCACATAAAAAAAAAGAAAAAATAAACAATAGTTATCCATTTAAGTACAAACCTGTCGTGTCAGGAGTGACAGGAGTGTGAGGAGTTTTGTCTGCAGTTTCTTCATCCATTTGGCATTTTTGGATTTCATCATCAGGGGATCCAGCATAATAATAGGTTTTGGACGATTTGAACAAAGGTGCATTGCTGGTGGTAAAATTCTCAGGTTCTTTCCCTTTCACATTCAAAGTCATAGTCTTTTCTTGAGGAAAGAACCCGGCGGCCAGACAAATATCTGGTCCTTTGCCATTGAAAGGGGACAAGATGGACAGAAACGGAGGAGTTGGCGCTACATCTTCTGAACAAAGAAAAATAAGCAGTTTTCATCAGCTTTTTTAGTCCTTTGGCAAGACTGTACTTTTTACATATGTGGCAGTTGCAAAACTATGCTCATGATGTCAGTGAAAAACTTTTGCAATCATCTATTCATGCACAAAACATCCCTAGTCTTATGAACAAATACAATTACTCAACTAGAAATGTTTTCTTTGGAGCAACAGCCCAAGTTAACAAACATACCGTGATCAGAAGCTGAACGCAGCACAACCAACTAACCAACCATTTCAAGCTATTTTGCGGAGTTTTTCACTATTTTCTCCAGCACATAAGTTGGTGTAAAAGCTCGTAACAGTTAAAAAGAAGTACTTACTTGGTACGACCTTGAGGGTTATCGGCTTTCCGAATGTTAAGGTGTCAGTAGCTGAAAATGCACTGCTACCATAACCCTTACAAAAACACTCCTGACCCTACATCAGCATTGGGACTGACAAACTGACCTAACCGAGCCCTGCTAACTACAACTAACTGACCAAAGTTCATGTTTTCACAAATTCAGGTGTATGGTTTGGAAAACTGCAATATGATAACATTGAAAGTGGATTTACTTACTTGGATTGACCGTGAGACGGATGGGATTTCCAAAAGTTAGTGGGTCTGCACTTCATTCAGCCCCTTGACAATATCCTTTACTAATGCAAAGTATCCGTAAATCTTAAGAAATACACTAAAGACTGATCTGAAAGTTTGATGTGAAACATCCAGTCGAAGAAGTCCAGCTTTATATTCTTTCAAAGGTAATTCCATCTGTCAGTCATCCTCGTGATATACCCATGTCTGCTCTATTCACATACAAACAGGTGGCTGAAACAAAAGCCTTCAAGACAAAAACATCAAGATTGAGAGAATAGTTCTGTGATAGTTCAGTCTTTCAGTCAGATATTGGTTTAAATGTATCAATACAGTTTATAAACACAAATAACAGGGTTATGAGATTTTGTACAGCGCCTAATGAAGAATGTATCACTGTGGTAGTCCAGACACAATGAAAAACATCAATACAAAAACCCATGCCCTCTATTGAGGGGCTGTCTTATATGGAAGAGAGAGAAATGCTGTCATCTGAAGAATCTTCTCAACAGATATATTTGACTAAAACTATGTTTAAAATCCATAGCCATGAGATGAAACCCCAAGCTGCAGTGGAAGTCTTCATGTCTAAGATGATAGAACAGCCTCAGAAGGATCATTCAATGCAGTGACAGTCAGTTAACCTTTGTGAGGTTTTTGTACGGGACAAAACTTGAATCGAATCACTGTGGTACCCCAGTCCACACAAAGACACAACTCGAAACAAAAACCACCCTCCTCTGTGTGATTGAATCACGTCAGACTAAGTAAGCACAAATATACGGAGAAATTGGCACCTAAAAGACCATCTCAAAGAGAACTCTTTAGAAACAGGACATTTTTGAAAATAATTGGTCTTACCTTACATTAGGGCTCTTGTGATAATGTAATTCAGTTTAAGAATAAAGTAAGTGAGGAATACTACTAAACTTGTACCTGACATATTACTTTAAGGAGCTGTTTGTATTTACGTAGTCACTTATTACAATTGAATATAATTACTAATATTAATTATATTGACATAATAGATGTAACAGGCACTATAAACTGTTATTAGATTAATTTTAAGTATAATTTTTTTGAGTTGGAAAAAAAAGTTCGGCAAAAGACGTATGTTTTCTGAGTTGTTGTTGTGTTTTCTGAATTGTTATTTTGTTTTTTAGACTTGCATTTGCGTTTGTAATTTGTTATTTTGTTTTCAGAATTGTGATTTGCTTTGCACTTCTCGGCCACCGTATGATGCAGATCTGACACGCATTGCATTTTCTCACAACTCTTTACCTTTTCTGACCCACTTCAGGTCTTAAAGTCTACTAATGAGCTGACGAGTTTAATCGGGTGTGTTAGATGAGGGAGAACCACTGCATTTCAGAGATAGTCTTAAATGTGACTCATAACAAATACTTAGCTACATGCATGCACAGATTTAAGGCAGCTTTAATCGCCTTTTTTTGGTAATTCGTGACTTAACTGACAACATAAATATGACATGGCATGCTCATAGTTTCTTTTGCGCTTTAATGTGAAATTATACAGCTCATCGCTGCTGTTCGTGCAATTGAAGAGCACGTGCTACGAGCTCAGTATAATGGCTCACGGGACAGGAAACTTTGTTTTTACTGACATATGGCCTGACAAGATCTCATCTGAGCGCAGTTCACTGTTGTTCTACTGAAGCTCCCTCATCCATCACCTCTACCTTTTAGCCCTGTTACGCTCTGACTAGCTGGCGCTGAGGCGAAGTTGGAGTGCGCGTCTCCCATTTTATGTTGTCGTAAAGACGTTCAGCATCGAAATAAATGCAATTCTTGTCAAGAAAAAAGACAGAAGCAGCAGTTGTGAGCAGGGCTGGCTACAGGCATGGGCAGGCTGAGCCCACCCAAATTACTGTCTTGCCCACCCAATCAGAATTAGATAAAGATTACGTTAATTTTTTGTGCATAGATTAGATAGAAAAGCAGAGGCTGACAACGAGCGAAAACTGGCAGAAATGTTTGCGCGCTATCACGGGGAGTTTGCGAGTTACGAGGAGTTTAATACACTAATATGCATCATAGCCTACCACTGAAATTACCTGAGCAGTTTTAATTCTCTAAAAGAAAAGAAAAGAAACATCATTCATTAACGTGCGTTCATTGCACGGACGGGGCACGAGCAGCGTCTAAAATGCATGTAGGCTATACAGTTCAGTTGAAAGCTTACCCTTTTTGACTTGCTGTTAATGTTGAATGTAAGAATTACTTACTATAGCAACAGCCGGCTCCACTGTATTATCAAGTATTCGCCTTTTTTTTTTCTTTTGTCAAATTCCGCCGTTTTGAATTGAAAGTTGGGCTGTCATTTACGTGATTCATGTAATTCATAATTATTGTGACGACAATAGCATTTTCTGTCTTGCGTTTTCAACATATTAGGAATACAACTAAAATTGAATGTGTGCATATTTTAAAATAAAAATATTTTTTGCAGTTCAGATTGATTACTTTACAAAAAATCGTATTATTTATTTAGT